CTGCCTTCCATGGGTCACACATGTATGTTGGTTTAAAGCTGATGACACACAATGGAGAGATACAGGCTAAAATGACATTCCTGTCACCTGCTCAGCAACTGTCTTACACAACACTTTTGCTCTCTCAACCTCATTTATTTATACTGATAGTCAATATGCATTTTCTACAGTTTTTCTTTTTGCTAAACAATGGCCACTAGTACAGGAAAACCTGTTACACATGCTACACTTTTGTTATCTCTGCTCCAAGCTATACTTTTGCCATCTATATTGGCCCTTCTCAAATGTGCTGCTTGTTAAATGCAAATTCGCTGCCAGAAGACCCTCTGTCTCCACAGGATCCCCAGGGGGTGGAACCAGGCGATTGGGCTTTCATCAAGGCCATTAAGAGACAGAGCTGAGCCAGCCCACGATGGGAGGGACCATTTCAAGTTCTGCTGACCACTCCCACTGCAGTCAAAGTCACTGAGAGACCATCTTGGATTCACCTCAGCCACTTTAAGTTGCAGAGAGTGTTGGAAGCCTAGGTAGGAGCAGTGGGAAAGTCCATCTACAAAGGGGTTTGGCTTTCTAGGGCCATTCGTCTCAAAGATGGTGAAGAAATCATCTAACCCCTGTTCTATAGAGTCCTAGGTAAATTCTGGCATCTCTGTAACCTAGAAAAAATGGGTTCTCCATGGAAATGGGGCCACTTTTGTGTTGTGGCTGCTGTGTGTGTGTGTGTGTTCTGTTTTTTCAGTTCAACCCCGCTGATTCATCTGGGGAAAAGGTGTGTCCACTTCATAGCTGTGAAGACCTGGCTAAGTCATCTTCCAGACGATCACCATGATAACATATGGCAGAGTTATGGAGATGTTGGCTAAAGAGAAGAACATGACTGACTGCTACGTCTGTTCGGTGATCCCAAAGTCAACCAAGAAACCTACACTGTATGTCAGTCCCATGAATAAGTCCCAGGCCACCTGCTTCGCCTCCTGTTCTCTGCATTTTATGCCTGTGACTCCAGACAACACTTCAGATGGAACCATCGTGATGAACAGGGTGTGCTCAGGTGTGACACCTCTCTTCACCTCCAGTAATGTTACTGGATATCCATCGAGAATGAAGGCTGTTTTGAAACCAGGGATGAAGCATCCAGTTTGTATTCATTCTCCTCCAGGAAACTGGACTGTTCAGGTAGGCCATGTATTTGGATGCCAGCAAAACATTACTGATTTATTTCCTAACTCTGTTTGTCCATCCCGTGCTGAGATTTCTATTCCATGTTCCACTTGGAGACCTCAAGGGAATTATCCCACTGAGGGCGGCTGGTTCCTGTGTGGAGGACACAATATCTATCCCTCTCTACCTGTGAACTGGTCAGGTACCTGTGCACCTGTGTTTGTGTCTGACCACACCATCATTGTCTCTACTGCAGCAGTGCAATCTCAACACCTACGGTGGAGAAGTACAAGGATTATTTTCGAATCCCATGATCCTATATGGGGCTCTAATGTTCCTAGTGAACACAAGCATTGGAGTACTGCGGGAAAGGTGGGACTGTCCCTTTTTCCCTGGGTTGGAGTAGGAAAATCCATGTTAATGATTGAGACACTGGACTACAGAATGAAGACTCTGGTAAATCTTACCATGGACCTGGAGGAAGGACAAAACCAACAACTTGGCGAAATGCATCTGATGGTTCTTCAAAACAGAATGGTGTTAGACATACTGACAGCTAGGCAAGGAGGTGTGTGTGTAATGATAGGAACGTCATGTTGTACCTATATTTCTGATGCCAATGAAACTCATGTTGATGAAGCGATGTCTGCCTTAAAATAATCTGCAACAGGCCATGTCACAAGATGCTGTTCCCTCACAATAAGGTTTTTTAGCTTGGCTCTCATCTGGGCCATAGTGGCATCTACTGCTGAAATTAATAATGCCTCTTTTTGTTATTCTTTTCTTGTTTTGTGTTTTTACTGCCTGTATAATCCCATGTTTAAAATCTATGATAGCTAAAACTGTTGGAAGTGTTATGTATCAACATCAACTTGTTGCTTTCATCATTGCTAGTAACTCTGATGTCTAATGTATGATGGATGCATTGAAAATGTGTTAGCAAGTGATGTATTCCTGATGTTTCTGTTAGACGTCATAATATGAAAAACAGTTCTCGAGTGATCCTGATGCAAAAAAGTGGCAAAATAACCCTTTACTGAAGTTTCACAAATCACAAACATGGTTTTAAATATTTTGCTACAGAGCAGAACAATTTAGTTCTGGTTTCATGAGTCTATGTGTTGTAGTTTTGTAGACTGTTGTACAAATACTGAACCAATAATGTGCCCAACTCTGTCTAAGGCATCTTGGGTTGTGGTGCAAATCAACGTTAAAAAGGCACATCGTTTGTGGATTTAGGATAACTACACCTAAAGCCCTAAATGCTTCACAAACACCAATGTTTCACAAAGTAAGCCTACGTTTTAATTCAACAACCATACCCCTAGACACACAACCGTTTCCATCTACAGAATAGCACACTTCGATGCAGAAGCATCTTTAATCCCTCCGCATCGATTAAAGATGCGGAAGGAAGTGAAAAAATTGTTGGAATCTCCCTTTAGCGATTTCCCAAATCGAAAGCTAGAATTGGAAGCCAACTTCAGCTTTGTTATGAGGATAAAGTCAACAGTGACACAGTGATACACAGTATTCAGCTACTGAATACTGTGTATCACTGTGCTTTAAGGTTTGTAACTGGTAGCAAACGTCTTACACGTCATTGTGAGTTGTATTCAAAAGCTGAATGGCCTCCTTTAAGCGTACGGACAAACAATTTATAGGAGCTATTTCTCCATTTTCAATTAAATCTTAGAATTTATAATATTTAGTTCAATTTGTTTAGGCTCATTTTCTAGTTTATTCATAATTAAAATTTTTGTTTAATTTGTTATTTGAAGATAGGTTCTTTGGTTAGTAATTCACTTAGTTGGTTAATTAATTTCAGTTTGGGACAGTTTATAAATAGGTGGATTTTAGGAAGGTCATTTTGCAGGTGGGTGGTCATAAGGCTTTTTGCCAGTCTATTCAGTCAGTCAGACAGTCTATCATCTTATAACTTGCTCAGTTTTGCCTGAGCTGTAGAATAAAACAAAGAACTGCATTTTTGGCTTTTTTGCTCTTTTTGGACTGCGTAAGCAAGAATCCACGGTGCATCATGGTGACTATTTGAGCTGAATTCACCGTTTGCTTTTGAAGTTGAGTTGTGGGACAAATAATCACTACACAATCACCTGATGATCCTGATTTATTAATCTCTATTCGGCTTTACTCCAGCATATTCTCTTACGTAAATCTGTTGTTTCCTTTTCTTTGCGATCTAATAACATTTTTCTTTTGCATGTTCTACGTGTTCGAACTGAACAGGGGAAGCAAGCATTCAGTGTTTGGCTCCTGCAGCGTGGAACCAGCTCCAGTCAGTGTAAATGACCTTATTAGTATTTTGTGTTTCCTCATTTAAAAACGAGTATTTGTTAACATAAGAATTTATGCTTTTATTTTGAAAGGGTTTTAAACGGAAGAGTGGTGAAGTGTGACGCCAACGTTAGACAATTAACTGACAATTAACTGCTGGTCATCGGGCAGAAAGAGAGAGCGCTCAGGTTGGAATAAAGCTAATAAAGGTGTGGTTCAGATTAGGTGTAGACAGTCAGTTGGTTGGCGCTTGGTTGATGGGGAACAAGGTGAGAGTTTTAATATGTAAATATATATTTAGTTTTACTGTAAATGTGTAATTTGCTTTGGGTGTGACGGTTGTGTTATTATACGGCACTAATATTCGTTGATTAACCGTTAATAGTTAATTTGTTGCACTTTATGACAGGTTTAATTACAGAATGTAAGAAAAATGATTTATATGTTAAAGTAAAATGTGAAAACAACACTGTTTGAGTTATTAATGTATTTTATTTGTATGTTCTGTAGCTCTTACGGTGTGTTCACATAAAAAGGCATTAAATAAACGTTGTGAACCATCAGTTTGAGAGACCATCCATTCAACCGGGACGCTACAGTCAGAACTCAAGATGTCAGAATTGATTTCATTGGATTTATTTCCATCGCTTCTTAAAACCAGGCAACAAGATTCAATTAAACAGTGTCACTGCTTTTAAATAGTTTTCTATTGTTTTACACTTGTGCATATGTATCAATTGGTTTTATTTTGTAACCAGGTTGCTGTGTGTTGCAGACTTCTGCCCAGGTCCCTCTTGAAAATGAGATCCAGATCTCAACCGGGTTTACCTGGATAAATAAAGAAAATAAAATCAAAAACAAAAACGGGAAAAACAGTTGCCCATTTAGTCTCCTCGTGACTCTTGTCGTATTTCAGTTTTTTTTTTTTTCTTGAAATAGTTTATATAAAAAAAGACAAAATATTGTCTCATGCTCTTCAAGGGAGGATTTATTTTCCAAAAATCTCATGTTAATATCTCTCTTTTTCTTATTTTATCTTTTATAAACTTTATTTATTACAATAAGCAACCATACAATTGTACTGTGGATATAACACAAAAATACAATAATAATAATTTACTAGGGGGAGCATAAAATAGAGCATGAAGACAAGAAAATTATAGTCAAAATAAATATGCATGAAGCATGTTAGTATCTCTCATGTACAAATGAAACACTACATTTACGCATGTATTGCGTGTGAGATGTAAATATTTAGTTTTACTTGGTGTTTGGTTGAGAAGTTTGCTCTGCTTAGCCAATCAGACAGACGGGCAAGTGTGAGGACCCATAGCTGCCTTTTCTTTCTGCCCGAATGTAATAAAGCGATAACCAGCTTAAAAGATTAATCTGTAGATTTTATAAATTTTTCTTGTAAAAATATTTAGTTGATATGTAATTTAGGTGAAGATATGTATATTGTTTCATACTATGTTACCGATTGTAAACATTTTTTTCACAGGCATTGAAAGAGAAAGTCTGTATCGGCTTCGATCACCCTCCCGTTGACATTTCTTACCAAACTTCGCTTGTAAGCACAACATGTTGGCGCTAGAGTGATGAGGTAACGAAGCAAAACAGAATACTGTAATTTCTAAAAGCTAGAAAGTTTTCTGGGGCCACAGAGAGGATGTCTCAGCTGCTAAGACTTCTCTCGGCGGCTGTTTTGCCTCTCTGCCGGGCCAGAGGAGCCCGAGGTCGCACACTGGGTTCAGTTAGCTTCGCGGTTCGGGTAGGTAACTGCTGACTGTTTCTCATTCTCTGCTGTCAACATCACTGTGACCCTTTCAGGGACGCTTCAGGAGTTGCATAGACACATTTTACTGTAATACAGCTAAATCGAAACATAATTTTGCGTAACAAAAACATCCCTGAATTGAACATGAGGCCAGATTTAGCAGATTTTCTAAAATCTTTTCTATTTTGTTCTACGATTCGACCTCCGCTGTTTTTTTTAAGCTCAAGTTTCACCTCACGTGTTTAAGCAACAGTTAAGATTTTGTTTTCATATCTATTCCATTATTATGTCGGAAACTGATGCTTTGTTCGGATATTGCTGTTTGATCAAAGGTTTTAAAACGATGCTGAAGTTGACATCTGATCAGCAGCTTCATATTCGGCACGAGACGAAAGGGCCATTTACCAAACCGAGGCAACGTTTGATTAGTTGGAGTTTCAAATCTAACACACGTAGAATGTTCAAACACGAGGCGGGTTGCATTACAATAACTATAAACGACATTAAACACAGTTTCTCATTATTTGAAAAACGTTAATTGTATTGTGAAAACAAAATGTGTAAATTCTATAACCTTTTAGCTATCAGACCACCTTTCATGGGTTCCTGCTAAAAATATCAACTAAATGTAGTTTTTTGAGGACGTCAAGTTAGCTGTGATTAGGATTGAATCATGGTGGAAACATTACATCATTCATTCAGAGATGCAGTCTCATGCTGTGAAACTGATGGCCACTAATAAGAAAAGGACCAACTCAATAATAAACTGAACTTGACCACATTGTTTAATTACCAGAATCAAATGATAATATAGCTGACTTTGAAACTGTTATAATTAGATGCTTTCTTTTATAACGTGAATTGAGATTACATTTGTTTGACAGTTGCATTTGTCACTATATCAACAAAATAAAGAAGTTGATGTAAATAGCTTTACAGATAGAAGCTGTTTCATGGAGAAGCTGTGTTACAGAAAGGTTAAAAGTTTAGTCTTCATAAAAAAGAAAACAAAGATGGCTTAGATAGTTTATGTCTTGTTAACAATTAAAACAGGTTAATACCAGAAAGGTGAATTAATCACTCTAAAGAGCAAAACCTGCTGAATATGCGTAACGTCCATTTTGCTTCTCCACTGATCAGTGGCATTAAGTGTCATTAGACTCTATTAAAGAATAGTTCTGGGACAACAGCAAACAATATTTTATTGTTTTATTTTATTGTCAGCTTTGCTTCTGCAGTCCAGAACTTATTCTAACTTATTTTGGATGAATGCCTGGATGAAAACATGAAAACAATTCTACATTAGAATGAAGGTTGCTAAAGGTTATTAAAACAATGACAGAGCAGATTTGTGGTGTCATCAAAGCACTATCCCGACCAAAACAAATATATTCTTTCCTCATACTGTGGAATCTGAAGGTGATTTTATCTGAGTCTGTGTGGTTCCTGTTGGTAGAGTCTTATAACTTTTTTTTTTTTTCAGGACTATAGTTTTTTCAGTCAAAGTCAAGCTAATTTCTCTTCTCGTCAAAGAACCTGGTTAGCTAAGCGACGCGTCTATTCTACTGAGCCAAAAGGTGAGAGCTGCTGGATATGATCATCTGCTCAAATAAAAGCTATTTCTTTTGATTTTTCTTTGAAACTTTTTGTGAAGCTATTTTATTGCTGTTATATGCAGTAATAAACCATTAGAAAAAAAGATTAGATGTGTGGGATAGGTATAGGGTAACATGTTTTTATGTTTTAATAATCCTTTATTGATATTTATAGATACACTTTCTATAAATAGTATGGAATGCATTGTTTTATGTTTTCAATGTAAAGTTGTGGAAAGGGCCTGCAGATGGAAATTAGCTCCAGACCTAAAACCTGTTACACCGCATCTTTTCATATATATATTTTTTTACTAATACTCCTATATGTGGTCCTTGTCAAATAAATCACTGTAACAAACCGGGAGCAGAATGCTCATAAGTTTTCTTTAAAGGGGGAGAATTATGTAAAATTGACTTTTTTGAGCTTTGTGTTATGTTATTCCCTCATCAAAACATACCTGGAGTGTTGCCTTGATCCTTTCATGCATGTTTGATCCTTTAATCTCCCATGGCAACCATTTTGCTCCTTTAGACTAGCCAGCAGCTTTAGCAAACACCTGGTAGAACAACTCATTTGCTACTTCTCAGTGCAACACTAGAAAAAAAAGTCATTAAAGGGTTAATAGAGGAGCCATGTTGTGATGATGTACTGAAGGTGAAGTTAGAGAAAAAGTCGAAGTTTCTTAAAGAGACAGAGGCCCAATTTCAAGGTGTTAAAGTACAAAGTCAAATTTCTCTTAAGTCATATTTGACACATGGAACATTCTTATAATAACTAAAGTTAACATAGTTACTTGATTGTGCTGCAAAAGGGCACTATGTACCACTGCTCCTTTAATCAGGTGACAGGATGTTGAGGTCTTTTTGCACGTAGCAGTAAAAGTCACTGCTGCATGTGACTTCTACATGTTTTCCTGTTCAAACATCCCTGTATATTGCACATTTTGAAGCTACATCTCATTTAAATTATTTCAATAGAATATATATTTTTATTGCAAAATCAGTCAATGCCATTTTATAACACATGAGGTTTTGCTGTGAAATATTTGTCGGCTCTTATATTTTAGCATTGCCAATCATGGAAAGAATTGCCTCTTAGTGGTGCAATAAATCTTCTTGTCTGCATTTCAGATGGAAAAGAAGGAACCAGCAGGAGATGGGGAGGACGACCAGGTGGAGGAAAGAGAGGAGGTGGAGGGAAAGACTGGTGGAATCGGATGCAAAAGGTTTGTCAGAGGAAAAATAGCAGTGAAGATCCAACAATAAAATTATAATATTTGTAAGGTTTACAAATAGCTTACAAAGGATAGATCATTGCAGAGTTCCTCCCTGTTGGTTAAGAGTAGCTTGAGGCTTGTATTCTACAGATGAAGTAGCACCTGCACAAGTCTTCCCTTCTGCATCTTAAAAAAAAGAAATTTTGCTTTGGAATCTAGTGAGAAAACTGTAAGATGTCAAACAATGTGTGTCTTGGGGGTTATTTATTTTTGCCTGTGCCAGTAACGGCCTCAGATCATCTTTAGTTGGTGCTGGATTTGTGTGTTTTCAGGGCGACTTCCCCTGGGATGAGAAGGATTTCCGCTACATGATGCTCACTGTTGCTGGAGTCAGCTCGGTGCTGCTCTACTTCTACTTCCGAGACACGGGCCGAGAGATCAGCTGGAAGGACTTTGTGCACCGCTACCTGGGCAGAGGCCTGGTGGAGCGGTTGGAGGTGGTTAACAAACAGTTTGTCAGAGTCATCCTGGTACCGGGAGCGGATGCTGAGGGGGTGAGGTGATGTTAAAGTCTATTAATGGTTGTTGCAACACAGCAAAAAATACATCAAAAATATTTCTCATCAATACCTTTGATTTAACATTGAACAGCCATCCTCTAGTTAACCTGCTTCTGTTTCAGACCGTTACATTCAGTCCTTTCTGTGTTCCTCAGAGTTATGTGTGGTTCAACATCGGCAGCGTTGATACATTTGAGAGGAATCTTGAGGCTGCACACATGGAACTAGCCCTGGAGCCGTCACACCGGACCGCGGTCATCTACAGCTCTGAGAGTGACGGGTGAACTTAACCCTTCTATACCCAAAGAACAAAGTTTGATCTTCACTATGGAGGAAAAAATGAGAATTACAATTTATTTGGTCAATTTAAAAAACAAAAAGATGATTCATTAAGTTTGAAGAATACTGGGCTGCAGAGGTAACGCTTCACATCAGCATGTCCACCTGAAAACGTCTTTAAAAAATGGATTTTATTTCAGTTATTCCTTCCATTAGTTGAACTGAATGTCAAGTCAAAATAAATACAAGTTGTAAAACAGGCTTGTCAAACAAAATGATTGTTCTTGGTGGGTTAACATCGCTATGGAGACACAGGAAGTACATCGTTGAAAAAAATTTCAACTTCCAGATTTTCCATATTTAAATCTTAAATTTGATCAATTGTAAATTTATAAAATACATATATCAAAACATAAATTGTAGCAATTTATCACCCATCCTACTATGAACATCAGCGCTGATGGTCATAAAGGTTGGAACAACTTATTATGAAAGTAAATTCAAGATTTGTCCCATTCCATCCACATGCAAAAATATACAGAAAACTTGTTCTTTCTGGGCTTTTTGTGTGATAGAGGACAAAGTAATATGAACAACAAAGTTGCTTTATATTCTGTGTATTGGTGAGTCAGCTGAGCAATAAACAGGTCTGATGAGATTTCTGTAACATCTCTGAATGTTTTGGTCACTTGAACAGTATTATTTTTAGATTTCATATTGCTACATTGAAATGTTACGATATAGTTCAGTAGATTTTGTTTTTCTTACATCCTTACAGCTCCTTCTTGATGAGCATAATTCCTACTCTTTGCTGATTGGCTTTCTGTTGTTCACACTCCGGCGTGGACCAATGGGAGGAGGGATTGGTGGGGGAAGGAGCCCCTTTAGCATGAGTGACTCAACAGCCAAGATGATGAAGGACAACATAGATGTCAAGTTCAAGGATGTGGCTGGCTGTGAGGAAGCTAAGCTGGAGATCTTGGAGTTTGTGAACTTCCTGAAAAACCCACAGCAGTACCAGGACCTGGGAGCCAAGATCCCCAAGGTGTGAGCAGCCAGGACTGTCAGAGGGGAAGTCCCCCGTCCTCGTTCTTTAGTTGGCTAACAGTCGGTTGATGAGTGTGTTTTCGCAGGGTGCCGTTCTGTCTGGACCTCCTGGCACAGGAAAGACTCTGCTGGCCAAAGCCACAGCAGGAGAGGCCAACGTCCCCTTCATCACAGTCAATGGCTCCGAGTTCCTGGAGATGTTTGTCGGGGTCGGTCCAGCAAGGGTGAGTGGAACAGGCCCCGTTGCTGTCCAGTGCAGTGCTTCTCAGAAAATGAGAGTTGAACTAACATGGCTTCTGTGAAGGTGAGGGACATGTTTGCCATGGCGAGGAAAAATGCACCATGCATCCTCTTTATAGATGAGATTGATGCTGTGGGGAGAAAGAGAGGAGGAGGAAACTTTGGGGGACAGAGTGAACAGGAGAACACGTTAAACCAGCTGCTGGTTGAGATGGACGGTACAGCCACATTCTACTTTAGAGGCTGCTGCATTTTTTTTTTCTGTTTTAAAATGTTGTTTTTTTGTTTCTCAGGTTTTAACACATCTACTAATGTAGTGGTCCTTGCTGGAACCAATAGGCCGGACATCCTGGACCCCGCTTTGATGAGACCAGGACGCTTTGACAGACAGATTTACATCGGTACACTCAGTCTTTCTGTTTACTGCAGCTTACAGTTTGTGTGGGATTCTGGTTAAACATCAGGCTGTTATGGAAAGCTGACATGTACCACCAGATCACTGAAAATATTCAAGGTGGTCTTCAGATTGTCTGCCTCAGAGGACATGTGTTGAAAGACCAATGTACAGATACTTGATGCAGATCACTGATGGTTTTTCCCTCCTCCTCTCAGGTCCTCCAGACATCAAAGGCAGGGCTTCCATCTTCAAAGTTCACCTGAGACCAATCAAACTGGATCCCAGTCTGGATAAGGATGCTCTAGCAAGGAAAATGGCAGCTGCCACACCAGGATTCACTGGTGTGTAACATCTACTTGATTTATGTGAAGCTTTAATTTATTGTTCTTAAGCTTTTGAATTACAGATGAAATTGAACTACTTTGCAATAGCTGTGAAGTAAATTTCTAAACGTTGGTCAAAGACTAATGTATAAAAATTGCATTCGTCAACATTATTGACAAATAGATTGATACATTCAATCCAATCTTAGATGATGCTTTGTATTTTTTTGTCAATGAATCAGGTGCTGACATTGCCAATGTGTGCAATGAAGCAGCATTGATAGCTGCCAGGCACCTGAGCCCCGCTGTCAACCCAAAGCACTTTGAGCAGGCAATCGATCGCGTCATCGGAGGTCAGTCACCAACTTTATCTGTGTTGCTAGCTTTTTTTCACATTGCCAGTGAAAACCTTGTCTTTTATGTCTTTTATCATGTAAAATAGGAAGAGCTAAGAGATGGACTGAAAAGAACATTTACTAGACAGTATATTTCATATTTATGTTTCACATTATCTGCCTGTGTTCAGGCCTGGAGAAGAAGACTCAGGTCCTGCAGCCGACAGAGAAGAAGACAGTAGCATATCATGAAGCCGGCCACGCCATCGTGGGCTGGTTTCTGCAGCATGCCGACCCGCTGCTCAAAGTATGGAGTCTGAACACGGCACAGTCACATCATGGCATCAAAATCAACTTCAAATTGTATACCAATATTAAATGAAGGCTGAGGAGTTTGTCATGAGTTTCTATTCAGAGTAAGCACAGACTGTTATAGACACCAAACTGAGCCTTTGCTCAATAATTAACTAGAAAGAAAATAAAACCATCAGAATCATCATCCAGCAATGCAAGGGTGATGCTGTTCTTCTTGTCATTAGAAAATCAGTTTTTCTGTGTCGCCATGCTGGAAAGCACTTAAAATGGATGCTATGGCTAGAAAAGTAGCGCACAAATTCAGCCTGTTTACCATTCGGTCTACTTCTATAAAGTTACTAGCAGAACATCTGATGGACTACTTGCTGCATGTAAGACCGTATGCTTTGGTGTTTCAACACACGTACACAGAACACTGGGTCTTAGAAAGAATGGGATTTATTTGTATGGGTCACAGAAGAACTCTTCAAACTATTAGCGTCCAAATAAACAGACAGGAGTAAACATAAACCACCCCCAAAACTTCATTTCATGCTAAAAAGCAGGAGCTGGTATTGGTCCTTGTTGAGCTCTTTTAAGAGATTCACCAAGTTTTTATTTTGCAAGTCCAGGTCTGGAAACCAAGGTATTATCTTGGTATTCTGCTAGAAATGGCTGCACCTGATCATCAGCTAATAGTTTTTAGTAGTCATGTCAAGTTTTATATTTGAATATAAAATCATATTTTATATTTCCAGATATGAAATATGCCTTCTGGACAGCAACAGTTGGACACATGTAATTCAGGAACAGAACCAGTGAAGGAGGAATTTGTTCTCTCTATGAAGTAGAGCTGGAGGTTTTACCGTGCTTACACCCAAGGGGCAAAAATATCTGGGTTAGTTTTTCCATGGTGGAGCAGATGTATCCAAATTCAAAGGCCTAGTTTCACATGAAAAGCTTTTACTTTGCACAGAGGATTGTCATGAATCCCTTGTGTAGTTTTGCAAACGTTGGTGTTGAGCACATGTGTTGTGTTGTAGGTCTGTGTGTAGATAGAGGATCTTCACAATATTCCAAGACAAAACAATTGATAGTGCCTCATGTAACTGCACAGTTGCTCCTACTGCAATGTATTTAAAGAGCCTTGTCTTGTTTTCAGGTGTCCATCATTCCACGGGGGAAGGGTTTGGGTTATGCTCAGTACCTGCCCAGAGAGCAGTACCTCTACACCAAAGAACAGCTGTTTGACAGAATGTGCATGATGCTGGGAGGGCGTGTGGCCGAGCAGGTCTTCTTTGGACGAATAACCACAGGAGCTCAGGATGACTTGAAGAAGGTCACACAGTCGGCCTATGCGCAGGTACACACACACACACACACACACCCCACACACACACACACACACACACACACACACACACACACCACACACACACACCACACACCCACACCCACACACACACACACACACACACACACACCCTTGCAGGGTACAAGTAATATGGAGGAAGGGGACTCTGTTGAGTTGTGACACTTCTCTCTGTTTGCTGATGTTCAGGTGGTGCAGTTTGGGATGAGTGACAAGGTCGGGCAGGTGTCGTTTGACCTTCCCCGGCAAGGTGAGATGGTACTGGAGAAGCCTTACAGCGAGGCGACAGCTGAACTCATTGATGAGGAGGTCAGAGGACTGGTGGACCGAGCGTATGACCGCACCCTGCAGCTGATCACCGACAAGAAGGACCTAGTGGACAAGGTGAGATGTTTATCAGGTGGCACAGGAGGGAGGTCATTGTTCCCTACGTTTAAAGAGGTAGGGACATAGTTTCATATTGTAGCTGTCAAGTTACTGTGTTAACTTCAGTTGTTAAGCACATGCTGTATGTATCAAACATAACTTAGAAGAAATTTGACACCTTGAAATTGGGCCTTTGTCTCTTTAAAAAGCTGACATTCTTCCTGATATTGCAGCTTCATCATGTTGTCACAATAAAGCTCCTTCATAATTCTCTTTACAACTGTTCTGAGTATTTGACTGACATGTAAGTCATAAGATGAGCTCGACAAACAAAATTACAGTAGGTGTTTGTTAATTGCTGCTGCTAGTCTGGAGGAGTTGATTAGGGTTAGGTTAGACAGGTGCTCTGTGAGGGACAGTAAAGCCTGGTGGGTTGCAAGGCTTATAGTACACTCGGCACCCTGGAATAACTACCAGCTGTTTAAAGACGTTGGAAAGCTTTAGAATTTTTACACTGAAGGGATTCTAATGCTCAGAAAGATAGTGTTGGTTTGCTCTTAGCTGGTTTGATTTTGAATATATGTTAGTGAACAGTTCTAAGTGAGGCTGAACCACTGGTTTAAATGTTCCCATTTCCTGATTGTATCAATGCTGCTACTCAGTGTAGACGTTTGTGGGTTGGACTGATACAGAGATTTACAGAGGTTGTCTTTGTCGTCGTGCTGAACCCACCTGTGGATTCCCACAGGTGGGTTGGTGTAATTTATTTGAGCTTTTTTGTTTATCCTTGGTGTCATCCTCAGGTAGGGAAGCGTTTGCTCGAGAAGGAGGTGCTAGACAAAGCAGACATGGTGGAGCTGCTGGGTCCTCGGCCATTCAAGGAGAAGTCAACCTACGAGGAGTTTGTAGAGGGGACAGGGAGCTTCGAGGAAGACACAAGCCTTCCAGATGGCCTCAGGGACTGGAACCAGCAGAGAGGGGAGTCGGAGGAGACAGATCCAACCCAGGACAGGCAGCAGGCGGTGTAAGATCTGAGGAATCTGGAGAAACTCATCCAGCTGGACAGAAATACATGAAGCTGCTGACTCTGAGTTTTGGTGCTTTATCAGAGGGCTGTGCTGCAGCTAACAGTCAACTATTTCTCTTCAGAGAGGAATGATCTTTACAGAGCCACAAGATTTCCCGGCTCTAGAGCCTGCAACATTTAACTACATTGGGACAGAACAGAGTGAACATAATGCTTTCTTTATTTCTTTTACAAAATGTCCTTCCTCCTGATAATGAGGAAGAAATACTCGACTCGAGGAATATTTATGTGGCCAAACAAGGCTGATATGTTTTTTTTAGAAACGAATCGGATGTTTTTTCATCAACCTGGTACAACTCGTCTCAACGTCCTGCTTCACAACAACACAGCAATTTTCATTTGTATTTTACCTGAGCTTGGACTTATCATAAGGATATTTAATGATATAAACTGTGCGATCACAGGTGCCTGTAGATTTTACATTCAGGTAGAACAGTCACATCACATTCTGCTCAGTAGATGAAACTTGCTTTATTCTGTGTTGTCTGTAGTTTCAGTGGTTTTCAAGGTGTAAAGGAACTTTGTTAACTTTGTTTTGGTTAATAAGGTTAACCAGAACTTAATCTTGTTGTGGTCAAGTTTAGTCTTTCTATCTTGAGCATCTTTAATGTCATCTTCAACTTTTAAATGCGATTGTGTTAAAGATGCCTGGATGCAGTTGGAAATGCAAAAGTTTCCTCACCTTGTTGCGACACATTCAACACATTCAGAGATGACATGTTTTTGTAGCATCTCAGATACAGTCACATTCTCACACTATGGCTGACTTTAACAAGGGTGGGAATCAGACTTGTGCTTTTGAGTTACTGCAGCTGGAAAAAATCTCTTGATCTTGAGGAGTTTAATTCTGTAGATTATTTGTACAGTAATGCTTGAAAGTTTGAACCACCCAAACATGGTCATTGTTTTTCGAAAGAAAAATCATGTGAAATTATCATCCAAATCTCAAATTGTAAAGCAGACCTTGCAAGAAAGATACATATTTTCATTATTTATTCAACAAAAGTATTTTATCTGTCAAAAACAGATACCTATTGGCCATTTGTAAATGATTTGTCTTACAGTGGATGGACGAAGATGGAATCTTTTAGAGATGGTTTCGTAGCTTTCCCCAGACTGATGAGCTGTCACTACCTTCGTCCTGATGTCCTCAGATGTCTCCTTTCCTCTCGGCATTGTCAATCTGTTCTTTATGCAGATTGACAATGCTAACCAACAGTGGTTTGGTTAGTTTTCCTCTTGCGTCTCAAAACGTTTCCCAATGATGTCTCATTTGATTGGTCTGCTCAGATTACTTGAGCACTCATGTGTTTCACCTGAGCCTTTTAGCTAATTGACCTTACCAGTTCAGCTGTGGTTCAATTACTTTAGTAGATGCTCTGATTCCAGGTTTTTGAAACATGTTTAAAGTGCACTGTCATGGCAACAGATCCAACATCTGGGTCATTCCTTAGACACTGGGAGTAAAGGACGCGTCCAAACCGTGAAATTCACAAAAATTCTTGATCTATAAAAAATGCAATTACAAAGACGACAATAAATCAGTTTTACAAGTCCTTTTTCCTTTGTTCCAAAAAAACCCCACAACTTATACAGTTAAAAACTGTATCAGGCTTTTCTAGGTAAAACTTATCTAAGCAATCTGTCGATATATGGCCCTACAGGAAGTAAGCCTTTCAAAATAAAACTAAATTTAACAATAAAAGTGGCCTGAACAAATATCAGTCTTCTTAACTAAATATGATTTAAAAAATCATACAAATAACTTAAATATGTACTATTTATGGCTTTAACATGCACCTTTATTTTCAAAAGATTTTTTCTTACGATGTAAATCTCAAGGCATATACAACATTACTGTATGAAAAGGCTACAAGAATGCTACATCTGAGTACAATGGCAACACACTCGCACGCTGAAGCTGCACTTCTTAAACCTGACCAGCAGGAGGCAACAACTTCCCTGGTATCAAGTCAGCTCAGGAGAGTTGGCTGCTGTTTCTGCTTCTAAATATTTTTGACTACTTATTTCAAAATATTCTAAATTGAATTAAACAAAATATTATGGATAAAGAAAAAAAACGTAATTATCCTACACACCGGTAGCAAAAAACAAACACACAATGCTTATTTAAAACTGACTACAGCAGAAAAATGCTTGGTGTTTTCTTGTCTTCTGGTGGTTTGATGGGTTTTTCCTGGTTTATTTCCACTGGAGGACCACTGAGAAAAGCAGAGATGCAGCAAAAAGACAAAGGGACACGAAGATGGTAGATGCTCCTCCACAGTCCTTAGCATCCTCCTGGTGCACCCAATCACACATTTTGTTAAAAATATTTGCTAAAACATACCAAGATTTTACCTACATAGTTGCTCAGCACTTAAAAATATAATCCTACAACAAAATTAACATGTTCATTTTCAGCGCTGACCTTTGGGTGGTAGGAGTGACAGGACTCTGGACGCCTTCGCACCTTCTGAGATTTCATCCTGTTGCACTTCACAGTTGCATTATGTTTATAGATATTAAGAAAAGCTTTGCACACACAGGGCCAGTGCTGACTAGATCTCAAGGCACGGCAGCTACTGACGAGACGATATCAGAGATTTCTCTCTTATTTATTTATTTTTTACTTTTTCAAAGGCCAGAACAGAACCTACATATGCATTTAGTTGGGAGCCATTTTGTTGAACAGCAGAAGGATATATTTAATTTCCTTTGGCTGCAGCAGGATGGGTCCAAACTGACGGGAGCAGTCACAGGTGGCTTGTGTCACAACCAGAACCAAGTTACTGTCAGGGACCTGCTGCACCACAAACATCCTGAAACATAAACAATGATGCCAAGTGAATTTAAAGCAACAAAGACCACAGTCAAGGCATTAAATTAAAAGCCACATTTCTTTTAAATCATATTTGATACATATATTATTCTTATAAAAACTGATAACACCATAGTAACTTGATTGTGCTATACAATAGCACACTGTATCTGGAAAATAGGTACTACTCCTTAAAAGCTGCTTCTTTTATTAGTATCATCTATATGCCACAAACCTTAATCGCCTTTATGTTGATTAAGATTAATAGGAGGCTGAAATGAATATCTGGATCATATATTGAATAAAGGTCTATTTCATTGCTTTTAAGGAATTTAATTTTTTGTATTTGAATGAAGTTATATCAGATTTCTTAAAAGCTTGAACAGTAATTGAATGCAAACTTCAGAAATTCAAAATCGGTGATGTTGATAAGGGAACAAAACAACGAGGCGTTTTTAGTTTTAAGCATATCTTTTTTTAACAAAGTGATTTTAATTATGTGTTTTACAGTTTAATAAACCATAGAAGAAAATAATATTATTAAAAAATATGTCACCTAGAAATGTTTGAACAGAGATGAGTAGAAGAAAAAAAAAAACTAAAGCTGATTATTATCCCACAATGCAGCCTCACTAAAGCCTGGACTAAGTGAAAAACCCAGCCATAATAATAATTCACAATTCAGTGGATTTCCCTTCAAAACTGTGTTGACAGACAACACATTGAACATGCATAAGCAAGATTATCAATAAAACCGTTAGCTCCTTTGAAAAAGCATTTCTGCAATAAACTAGCAAAGTTGAACTGCCTCCAAGTCCTTTATGGCTAGTAATAATCAAGTGAAGATGGCAATATGCTGCAAAAAAAATAAATCCTGAATTGTAAAATACCACAATTCCACAACACCTGCTATGAATGCAGGTGTTGTGCTGTATCAACAGCAGCATACGTAATATCTGAAGGCTCTCATACCATAACTCTATGTTACACTCTTATGATAATTTGTCTTCATTGTAGATTTGTTCTTGGATTCTTGGAGCCATTTTGCTCCAAGAAAATGGCTTCACAACTGTCGTCCCTGAAGTTCCAAATATTTAGAAATGGCTTTTCAAAGTCTGTTATTTTGTTTTTCATTTATTCTTAAATGTCACTAGATCAGCCTACTTCAGATGGGATCTATTTCAATAGTTTCTTGATTGTACAAGTAACCCTGTGTGTGTGTGTGTGTGTGTGTGTGTGTGTGTGTGTGTGTGTGTGTGTGTGTGTGTGTGTGTGTGTGTGTTTTTAACATCCTTACTTCTGACAGCGTCCACACTTAATGAGACTGTTGGCTTCCCTGACCGATGAGTCATACATGAAGCCGGGGTATGCAGTGTCACAGGGCTGCAGCGCATCCACTTTCTTTTGCTTATGAGCTGAAAATACAAAAGCACAACATGCAAAAGTTTACATTCCTGATCAGTTCAGATGAGATGGATTTAAAACAAGATTTTCTTCGTAGTTGTCCTAATACCACCACACACTCGGTCATGTTGTACTCACATGTGTGATAGCCAGCTTTGGCTGAATGCATGGAGAATGGTAGTGACCACACAGAGTGAGAAGATGGTGTTGGAAATGATGATGATGATGATGATGATGATGATGATGAAAATGAAACAGCGTGTTGCATTTGAAAATGAGAGATAAAGCTGTCAAATGACGAAACGTAGAGCAAAAATATCACATCTCCAGACATCATAATTATCACTCACAGTTTCAGAATGAGTTTGGTTTCTGGACAAAAAGAACTAATGAATGAAGCAGCACCTGTCATTAACTATGAACACTCTATTGAAATGATTCCAGAAGCAACAGATGAGCCTAACTGTACTGTAGCAAGACAACAAACAGCTGCTCACTCAGTCTCCTCCATATCTTACCGCGCCCCCATCGAGCATGGGGAAAAAAAAACTTTTTTATGCATTCCCTTGCAAAAGAAAATTTTGCAGGACCTATTGTGTTACGCTAAATAAGTTTTGAATTTTGTATACAGTCATAAATGTCAATTCAAAATTTCAAGTACGACATACATATAAAAGAGACTCAGTGAACACGATATATTTTTAACTCTTTGGTGCAAAAAAACTGAAAACTGATTTATTCATTGCATGTTTACAAAACAAGGTTAAAATGACTTAACTTCATGAATGTTTGTCAATAAATCCAATTCAAACAAAGGAAGTACAACACAATCATCAAAAGTACCAGAAATAATGAAAACTAATCTAATCTTTGATCTTGTTGACAAAATACAAATACAAGACAGGTTTCACTGAGTTTGGATGCAGACTCATCTAAATACTTTAGAGGAGCTTATTGCTCTAAAGCAGCTGGTTTTAGAGCATAAAGCAGCTCGAGATAATCACAGACATTGTGTTTCAAATTCAAAATAAAAATAAATAATAAAATCATTCCAATCGAGCCTAATAGAATGCAGTTCATTCAGGTTCTAATTATGAAAAAATTAGTTAAAAAATGTTTCTGTTTTAAGAAATCCAGCAGATTGCATCGAGTCATTGACTTTCTGCATTCACTCCTGGACGGAGCAACATCAGATAACGACCTGCATTATGTCAGTAACTTTGCAGCAATCCACCGACTGGTGGTTTGAGAATACACAGCACACACACACAAAAAACCACATTAGCTCTAATTCAGGAGTACCGTGTAGAAGTCAAAAATAAGACATTAATGACAGTTGTAGCTCTCTTAGAGGCTTCATCTAGAAGAGAAGCACATCTGAGATGAGTTATGAGATGGATTTAAAAGAAAAGTATGCTTATGCATTTACAGCAAAAGCTTGACCAGCACCTTTACAGGAGACCAAGCTAAACACTGAAAAACAGGATCTGCTTTATCATATTTTTCATGAAAGAAAACATTAAAACTGCCAGATCAGAAGTGGCTACAATGAAGAGTAACAGACAGAGAGAACAGGAAGCTTAAAGTTGAAATAACAGCAACTAAAGTTAATTTTGAGACGAGCGGAACATAGCAGATCCAGAAGAAGTGGTCAATTTGTCCTGTAGACTAGATCTGCAGGAGGACAAACTTACATAGCTACAAACGATAGCCTAAACTACTATAACCATCCTATAGCTACTATAGCCTAAGCTACAATGGAAAGTTTTACACTTAGTGTTAAAACAAGACAGGTTGTCTGTGTCACAGACTAAAACTGAGAGCTGGTTCCACAGCAGAGGAGTCTGAGAACTAAAGGATCTGACTCATATTCTACTTTTAATAATTATAGGAACCAGCAGTGAACCTGCAGTCTGAGAGCAAAGTGTTCTGTTAGGAATATATGGACCAATCAGGTCTCTGGTGTATGATGGAACAGTTGGTTATAAAGAGAATCTTATATTTTATTCTGGATTTAACAGGGAAACAATGAAGAGAAGCTAAAACAGAAGAACATAGAATAGAATTTTTTATTAAGAGAGCTTAATAACTGAGATTGATTACCTTATTAACGCCATCTTACCATCAACAAAGTAGTCAGAGTGCCAGAGACCACAGAAGTTGAAGTCCAGCACAAACCTAAAGGATAAAAAACAGTAGTTTGATTTACCAGGAGTCACTGATTGTAAACATTAAAATGCTGGGTTGGGACCCAAAAGTTGAAACTTTCTTTAGTACCAATGTTTAAGTGGTGGAAATCAGATCTGTAGTAATCACAGAGTATACAGC